CAGGAAAGATTTAAAAAAAGTGAAAAATGAAATAGCATTGTGGAAACGATGGAAAGTGAAGGATCATGCATGCCAGCTTAAAAGCTAGATTCTTGCACACCTTGAAGTATGTGCACAAATCTTTTTGGTAACATCATACTGCTGTCTTGTGTCCCTTCGGACCGATAATATTGTCATTTTTTTTTTTTTGGTAAATAGATAATTATGTCATTGCAAATCAAATTAATCCAATCAAGGCGTTGCATTCCCCTACGTGACCCGCGTGGCCACACTGCTCAGTAGCAAAGTGGAATGCACCCTTTGGTCTTGACGTTAAATCTTTTCAATGTTGAACAAATGTTAATTTAACTATATAATTTTTATTGTCAAAAAAAAAAAAATCCAATCAAGGCGTTGTACATTGGTGATGGTTATGATGACAGAAATATTTTTTTAAAATTATATATTTATGATAAATTTATTTAGTTTGATTGTTTTTAATTAAATAAAATATTTAAAAATATTAATATATAGATTGATTTTAAATTATTAAATAATAAATATTAATTATTTTATAAATTATGAATTAATACTCATAATTATTAATTATTCTTAACAATTAAATCAAATATATTTATAATTTTTATACAACCCTAATAAATATTTGTTTGGCCATAACATGTCCTATAATTTATACTATGTTCATGATAAAGGGTATTGAGTGACCGAATTGAAATGTTGTGAGATTGTTTTGCACTATCATTTTGTGGTTAAATCACAATTTTTTCTTTTGATGATCAAAGTATTTTTGAAATAGTTGTCATGTATCTTAAAATTAATATTTTTTAAAAATTTTTAGGACAATACCTCATGTTGTTATAGTGAGTTCAAGAAAATTACTTTCTTTTGGTATTAAACCCAAAACTTGAATCATGCATCTAGTCAAAAAAACAATACTTATTTACAATAAATTTAATTATTAAAGTTATCACAAGGTTATTTTGTGGCTAACTCCAACGTTTTAAAAACCGGATCGGACCGGCCGGTTGAACCGGTCAGACCGGTACCCAGTATTCAAAACGGTTCGAGTCAACATTTAAAATCGGTAGAGTGGTTGAACCGTTTAAAACCGATAAAACCAGTTGAACCGATACAAACCGAAAAACCGTTCAACCGGACAGTTTAAATTCTTTGGAGGATTTACCTTAAATTTGCTACCCCGGAGGCTTGAACACATGACTTCAAAAAGATTTTCTGTGACTTTTGCCACTAGGACGTTATTTCTTTGATTGAAATGATTTGCTAACAATTTATTTATTTTATTTTTGAAAGAAAAGAATTGATGATACCATCCAGCAGAATCGAACTTCCTTCCTTGTATGAACTTTGATGTTAAAATTAATATAGTGTTCCTCTGATTTTTATCTTAAATATATAAATTAAAAGTGTGATAAATATAATTTTTTATAATTAATTTATAAAAAAAATAAAA